CCACGTCTGCTCCCCACCCCGCTAACCTGCTTTCCAACTCCGTTGTCCTGTTCAGGACAACAGAAGAAGATCAGCTGGGAGGCTGGGAGGCAGCGGGAGTGAAGCCAGCCTATTTGCCAGTTCTCCAAACTACTCAAAGTTTCCACTACTGGTTCTCCAGAACCTGTCAGAACTAGCTGAATACCATCTCTAAGATCCACCTTGACTGCTCTTTAGAAGGCCAGATCCTGAAGAGGAAACTCAAAGGCTTTGGCCACCTGATGAGAAGGAAGAAGGACTCCCTGGAGAAGAGCCTCATGCTGGGAACGATGGAGGGCATCTGGTAACTGGCATATGGCTCTGGCCCCCTCTCTGCCTCCGACACAGAGCCCTCCTCAGAGCCTTCCCCAGACTCCAGGACTGGCCCAGGTTCCTCCCCAACCTCCTCGCTCTCCGAATCTGCTGCCAACTCTGCTGGCCTCTTGGTGGGCCACCACAACTAATTCTGCAATTGAACAAGGAATGCAGTTAGAGAGAGTGCCTTATTTCTTTTATGAAAAGAGGAAAATATTGGGTACTTTTAAAAAATGTTCCTTTAATGCCTCCCCCTTCTCTCTCCATCACCTTTCCAGAGGCTGCTGTGTCATGGATTACCCCCTACGCCCAAAGTTCATGTAAGTTGCATTTCCTTCTTCCCTACAGCCCCCCCCCCCCCAAAAAAAAATCCCTAGAACTTAATATTTTACTGCAAGTCCCTAAGGTGGTAGTTTTGCTCACTCAGAGGGGATTAGAAAAGTCTCAAATCTGCCTGTGACTAAAACAGGGGTGAGGAACTATTACAAAACTATCCTTTTACAATCTGTGGACTTCAATTCCCAGAATTCCTGAGCCAGCTGGCTCAGGGATTCTGGGAGTCGAAGTCCACAAGCCATAAAAAGGGCCATAACAGCTCTGGGCTTCAAGGAAGATTTGATGTGAAGTCTAGGAATGAGATGAAAAGGACAGTTGACAACGGAGGAATAAATCCCAGTCATTTCCTGCATACACAAACTCACCCCAATATCCAAATATTCCACTTCCTTCTTTCCCAGATGGGAGCTTGCTTTTCCAAAGTTTTCAACGGCTGCCCGCTGAAGATCAACTCAGCTACAACGTGGATCCATCCAGAAACACGAGGTAGGGATTTATTTCTCATTGATTTCTGCAATTTCCATTCCATCAGAAGATGGCCTACGTAACATTGTTTCTCAGCCTTGGTAAATTAAGAGGTGTGGACTTCAACTCCCAGAATTCCCCAGTCAGCAGTACTTTATGATGGGTGGGCTTCAGCTCCCAGAATTCCCCAGCTGGAATACTTTAAAATGGGTGGACTTCAATTCCCAGAATTCCCCAGCCAGAATATTTTTTAAAATGGATGGACTTCAACTCCCAGAATTCCCCGGTCAGCAGTGCTTTAAGATAGATGGACTTCAGCTCCCAGAATTCCCCAGCCAGAATACTTTAAAACGAGTGGACTTCAACTCCCAGAATTCCCCAGCCAGAATACTTTAAAATGAGTGGACTTCAACTCCCAGAATTCCCCAGTCAGCAGTGCTTTATGATGGGTGGGCTTCAGTTCCCAGAATTCCTCAGCTGGAATACTTTAAAATGGGTGGACTTCAATTCCCAGAATTCCCCAGCCAGAATATTTTAGAATGGATGGACTTAAACTCCCAGAAATCCTCAACCAGAATGTTTTAGAATGAGTGGACTTCAACTCCCAGAATTCCCCAGCCAGTATTCTTTATGAGGTGTGTACTTCAGTTCCCATAAATACCCTGCCAACATGCTGGCTAGGGAATTCTGGGAGTTGTAGTCCACGCATCTTAAAAATTGCCAAGGTTGAGAAAGAGCAGTACAATATTTCCTTGCAACACCAGCCCTGCAGGGTAGGAATTTATGGACAAGGGAAAACTAGAACTTGGCTCTCTCTCCATTCCTAATCCACCACATTCTCTTTCAATGTTATAAACTTCCTTTTCCGGTTTGCAGATCTGTATCTGGTGGTGGGAGCAGAGGAAGGTATATACACCTTGAATCTTCACGAGCTCCACGAAGACACGATGGAGAAGGTGAGTTCTCCTCAAGAGAAACTCGAGGGGAGGATTGGGGGAGGGGATCTTGGCTTGTTTGACCGCTACAAGCCATGATTAAGCCACTCTGTAGCAGGCCAGTGCCTCTGCTCTGTGCTTAAACTGCAATGAATATGCTTGGGATTCCTGACTCTCTGTAAAATTTAGCAAGTCGCTTGAAATATTTTTAAATTAGTTGTTTATATCCCACGTTTATTATTTTTATCGGTCAACGCAAAGTAGCGAGCGTCCCTAATATTCCTTTCTCCTCCTGTTTTCCCCACAACGACAATCCTGTGCAGTGAGTCGGAGAGAGAGAGACAGAGACAGACAGACAGAGAGACAGAGAGACAGACAGAGACCAGCCCAAAGCCATCCAACTGGCATTCATGCCTAAGGTGGAACTAGAATTCACCTTCTCCTGGTGATTGGTCCAAAGTCACCCAGCCACCTTTAGTGCCTAAGGCAGGACTAGAACTCACAGTCTCCTAGTGATTGGTCCAAAGTCACCCAGCCATCTTTCGTCCCTAAGTCAAGACTAGAACTCAGAGTTTCCTGATGATTGGTCCAAAGTCAACCAATAAGCTTTCATGTCTAAGGCAGGACTAGAATTCACCTTCTCCTGGTGATTGGTCCAAAGTCACCCAGTCATTTTTCGTCCCTAAGGCAGGACTAGAACTCACCTTCTCCTGGTGATTGGTCCAAAGTCACCCAGCCATCTTTCATGCCTAAGGCAGGACTAGAACTCACAGTCTCCTAGTGATTGGTCCAAAGTTTACCTCCCAGAGACCTATTAGATCGCACAGACTAGGCCTCCTCCGGATTCCATCTGCCGGCCAATGTCGGCTGGTGACTCCCCCGGGGGAGGGCCTTCTCTGGCTGCTCCGGCCCTATGGAACGATCTCCCCGTTGAGATCCGGACCCTTACTACCCTTCCGGCCTTCCGCAAAGCGACCAAGAACTGGCTGTTCCGGCAGGCCTGGGGCTGTTGAATTATCCAGCCCCATCCTAAGTTATGAATGCTGTTGAATTTTTAAATTGTTGTCTTTTATTTTTTATATCCCCCCCTTCCCTTTTTATTTGTAAGCCGTCCTGAGTCTTCCGAGAGTGGGCGGCATACAAGTTAATTAATTAATTTAATTTAATTAATTAAATA